GCGAAAGAACAATCTTAGATGGCCTTGGTGACCCCTCCTCCGCGGTATAGTGCGGTGGAGAACGAGATTTCAGAATATCCTTGAGTCTCTGATATGAGGGAGGCTGGTACTGAAGGATGTGTGCACGAGCGCAATCCTCAATTGGTTGCTTGGCCGCAGCGCCCAGTCCAACAATAATCACAGTTCATAGGAGGAGATGGGTAGCTTAAAACACGAACGCCATCAATTCGCCATCAAAGATCTTCATGGATCAATGCACGCAATACTGAAGCGCGATGCTGAAGCAGGCTCCCGGTTGTGGACGCCACAACACAAAGCCAGGGTTTATGTGCACAATATGGTCCATGACCACCGGGAATGTTCCGGTCAAAAACTATAATTCAATACACTAAAATCTTACGAGGCTCTATATATTTTGAACAGTGTTGTATGCATCCTATTCGAACGTGTCTGAGCCGAAGAAGTTCAGAAAGAGATCAAAATGACTCCACTAGACTCTTGCTAAGATACGTGCAGCTATAGCAACATTCTCGCATTAACAGTGTGTGAAGGTGTTTGGTATCAAATTTCAAAGTTTGAGTAGCTGTGTACTTGTATAAAACACAATTCCCCTTCTCATCTGACCGATCTTGTAGTGGGGTCGCGGCCATCCTAGGGTCCGGTGTGGTCTCGCTCTGCCCCAGTCTGCTTCATTAAACTCAGCTGTGTTGGTGGCGCATCCAATTAGACATACTCTAATTAATCCCTTGCCCCTTAAGGTCCTGCAAGCACCACACTGGGAGTTTCAAAAGATTCTCGCTCATGATTCAGGTTCGTTAGGCATTCGAGCAGCAACAACGATAAGCAAACATTTGGTGTTCATCACAGGGTTGTATTGATCCTGCTGGTTGCGGTGAAAGTATCAGTGTCGACTGAAGAATGTGAACAGAAGATACTAGAGGCACTCTGGCGTAGCAGAGCCAAGCGGTGTCAACACTCTCTTATAGCTTGACGCATTGCATCGAAACGATGATTTGGTGGATTGCTCTAGGAAGTTTTACAAGGGTGATGCATCGACGCAATGTATGCCAGTGTTGGGTACAGGTGATTTTGCCGGGTCACTTAATCGTATACCATCTACTACCGGTTGGGCCTTCCATCGGTGTAATCAACAAGCCACGTGGGAGAAGACAGTACTACGTAGCCGGTAGTGTGAATACATTTCTGATAGGCTGACTTCCGCAGGGCTATGTATTTGCCGACCATTCGAACAGTAAAGCTTAATTCAACGTTGTGACTACTGAATACTTGATATACTGACAACTTTTAAGAACAGCGCGATCGTTACTAACGAGTGTGCGGTACAATAAATTTCTCGCCATATGACTACGTGATATTATTTCAATGCTCTGTAAATAACTATTGAATGAACTGCAGCGGTATCTTCTCGACACCCAGACGTTATTAGAAATCCCCGCGTCTACATGCAGTTCATAGCCAGAGTTTTAACTGCTGCGCTCGCCTATCGACTACTCTAGCTTAATCAGTTAAGGCTTTTCATAATGTGGCACTTGATACATTGTTTCTGAGGAATTTGATTTATTCGTAGGATAAGCAATAAACCCATTAATTGTATCTACTATATAGTTCATATCCAAACTAAGACAATCATGCAACTACTAACGTACTAGACGGGCGAGCTGATCACTCTGCCAAGACCACACCAACTTTTCAGTTACCACAGCAATTCATCACAGCAACAAATAATCTATAGTAAAATAATAGTAACTACTCTAAATAGGGACTATTTCTACATCTTTTTTACATGTACGTGAGTTATGCCCAGCCTTGCCGCACTGCCTGCAGCGCCTCTGAGTTAGCTCGTCTCTATCAACGTGCGCCTTCTTCTTGCCATTCTTCCCATTACTACAAGCCCTAAACTCTTTAAGAGCAGTTAATCGAGCGCCTTCCTCTATTGTAAGGTTACCTTCCTTCTGTAATCGCTTTCTTTTATGCGATCTACGTCGCGTGGCGGCTTCGTTAGCTGCTTGAAGCTCAGCAACCTGAGAGCGCAGTAGTACGATTGAATGCACCATCTGCGCAGCGCCCTTGGTAAGCTGATCAAGCGACTCAACCATTGAAGTTGGAGAGCTATTGAGGTGCTTTTGAACTCTCGACCGAACGTACGCAGATTGAGACCCAAATTCAATAGGATTACTGGGCGTTTTTGACTCCCAGGGGGTATTCTCTGCCGCAGGGGGTGTTGGCGTACGCAGTCGAACTTCAAGCTTTGATAGCACTGCCTCTGGGTTAAATGGAACTAGGCCAGCGCCTCGAAAGCTACCTAGGATATTGCTCTTTGTAATTGATGCGTTAAAAGCTGCTTGAAAGCAGGGTAAGAACTCGATTTTCGTGATATGGCTGATATGGCCGCGCATCAGCTGCTCGACTTGGCGCCCATACGCAACCTTCATAGGCGAAAAACAACCCACGTCTAGTGGCTGCAGCAGGTGCGACGAATGTGGAGGCATACAGAGAGTTATTATCTTCTGTTTCTCACAGAGCTGCTTGAATTCAAGCGACTCATGGCTCTCGTGGCCATCGATTATCAATAATCGATAGGTACCAATAGTACGACCCTTTGTATGCTTGTCAAAGTGCTTCAACCACTCAATACCAAGCTCGTTGTTCGTCCAACCGTTATTACTGACCGTGATAACCCAATCGTGAGGCAGGTTATCCTCCTTGTACCACGCAGAGAGGTGGTAGGCGCCTGCAAAAATAATGAACGGTGGGATCGCCCAGCCTGTGGCGTTGATGCCCTGAATGACTGTAGTCCACTCGCGATTGCCTGGTTGGAGCTGCTTTGGTCGAGTTCGTCTCTCAGAGCCTGTGACTACTGCTCCTGTCGATATCACGCCCATCATGAAGCCTGATTCGTCAAAGTTGTACGTGTCTTCATCAAGGATACCA